GCCTTAGCAAGCAGTAGCTTGCAAGCCATAGCCGCGTCCACAATAGGCTATCAATCGGCCTGTGCGCGAGCTCACACATCGATCCAGACAATCAATCGATAATTTGAATTTCTAGCTACATTTACTCACTGAGCCAACAGCCAATGGGACCGGCCACTATTTCAGAATAGAATCTGATCGGCTCGAGGGACATCGTTTACACACGTTTGTTTCTCTAAATTTGTTGTGCCTCTAACACTCAAAGACTTCTGCTTTCTGCACACTTCTTGTTGTGTTCTCTCTTTGGAGGCTCACATGAGGCGTAATTAGACGGCGAATATTTTGGTCTGGGTTCCGTTACAACAATTTGGCGACGCATTGCGCGGTGATATATCGGCCCGGGCCTCCATTACAACACCTGCGAGGGCTCTAGATCCAAACTCCGACGGAGTAAGCATATTCGCAACCCCACCGGCAAACTCCCTTCGTACGAGAGTTCATATTCCCGGCCGTAGCAGACAGGCAAACGGGTCTATGGCTGAATGTTAGAGTCTTTGAATTTAAATACCAATGACCAAAGCTCCCGAGTTTTGATCCCACGTACCACAAATCTGGGATTAGATATGGTTGGACGACGATGGCTACTCTCGTCTTTCTATCCTGTCGATACGCCCCAGAATATACTGCAGGTGGTTTTTAGCCTGAGAAGAAGACGACTCAATCGCTGGGGCAATACTTTTATTCGCCTGACGTTTCGATATCCGTCGCGGATCCATCATCGGAGACATAGTCAGAGCGCAATAACAGATGGGGCAACACATGCACAGGAGTTTGCAGTATTTATAGGATACAGTAATTACTTCAAACATACGACGACAATTAACTGTAATTGCCTTCTAGAGTGTTGGTGGTCTGTTGAACGGCATGCGGGCTCTGACCTACTGACCTTTCATCACGCGTGGTGAACTCGGGAGTGATGATTGCCCGGTCATCCGGCCCTCCGGTACTGGCATAGGATGATGCGGTGGCCTGTCCGTTCCCCAATCGGCG